AATGAAAAAGGCGGGAAAAATTGAATTTCGACTGTGTATCGCACTATCGGGATACGCGTTGATCGCCGAGGAAACAGAAACGAAGAAGGGAAGGAAGAACAGGAAAATAAAGATTCACGAGCACGCACAACGATCAGTATTATAGTATTCGTTGCGAGGAGTCTGATAGCGAACGTTCCTATTCTACTTAGAATGTCGCGCGATGAATTGACCCTTTCATTGCTGATCGAGTATTTACTTTGATGAAAGATCGCGCGTTTTCACATATAGAATAATGCACTCGTTATGATACTGAACGAGTGGAAAAGTCCCGATTTCTTTAATTATATATTTATCGAGATATAGAATCGACGTCAGCAGTCTGCTTGCAAGTCACAATATTAATAATTTCCAATATTTAACGGTGGCTTCGATATGGTATAAAACTTACAGTCAACTGTCGACGTTCGGTCGTCTCTCGGTTCTCATCCTTGCGACACGGGAGCAACTTTCAACTTTCTGCACGCCGGCCTCGACTAATTCCAGACGAATCGAGAATTACGCGCCAGTCAGTTGAAAACCGCGTACCGGTTGACTGATCAGCCTGACCGGTTGGCAGGCGATCCTCATCGGACGAGGATCCGTTCCGGTGTGCGAGGAACCAGGTTGATACGATTGGCTGTGGCCCCTTCTGGGCCTTCTAGGTCCCCTAACGGGACACCCTGTCGACAACCGATGCCTCTCACCTAAACGCAATCCCGATCACGATCGCGTGGGTCCACTCGGTATGGCGGAATGGGGGGGCAACACCTATCGGAGACGTCACTTTCCTGCTGAGTGGCGATCGAGACGCGACCAAGGTCGCCGGAAATCTGCCACCCGTGGTTTCCGTCACGCGATACGTGACTACTGTTTCCGAATAATCGAACGATGTGACAATTATTCGCTGATACTCGGATTAATTAACACGTTCTATCTGACTAACTAGGCTCTTGTGTAAAATCTAGCTGAGAGATATTTCAGAGAAAAAATAGCGTTACAAACGTCAGGAATGCGACAGAATTGATCGACTACTCTACTGCCGATCGCAATATTATAACGAATCAAGCTGTACTCGTCGTTCGATTTTTATCTGTACGACATAAACGAGAAAACGGTACAGAGAAAGAGGCGAAAGACTTCACGTCTCGGTGAATAATTGGCGGCGTGTTTTTCATGCATTAAAGATCGCTCATCGCACGTGCGTAAATAATGTGTCGAGCGGCGCGCGTCTCCGGCCGATGAATAAAAGATCTTCCTCCCGATGCTTTGTTCCAATTAATAAGATTAACCCGTCAATGATCGTTAACCGACCGATCTCACTGATTCACCCGAGTTTCACCAGTCATTTCCGTCGAACCGCGCGGCGCGCACGCAAATGCCGGTTGGGAAACTACGCGAGAACGATTTATCGAACTCTCTAATCTGACAGAAGAAACGTCGCATTTATCTACGCGCGTCGCTGTGAAACGATTCGGCGAACGGCGACTGTGCAAACGTTTGCAAGGCGAATTTCTCGCCTGAACGCGTTCCCGACTGTTGCTTTGCACAGGTGAGGCGCCTGTTGAACAGCCGCGAGAAGAAATGGGACCATGACATCGCTTATCTCGAACGGTCGATGATTAGTTTACCGATTCGGTTCACCGATTTCAGCGCGAAAAACGCGGCCAAAAAAGTGGAATTCCTACGCGTTGTTAACCGAGCGTTTCGAAGACCGTTTCGAAGAAGAAGCGCGCGATTTATGTTTATTTCGTCACGGCCAGAATTGGCCGATTTCGATTTGTTCTCTGATGACTGGCGCATCTTGTTCTTCTGGCTGCGCGGTTGCGGTCGTTTCCCATCTTCTTCGTCGCTTTGACGAAAAAAAATCCTCACTCCTTGCGCATCGATTTGTACGATGTCGTTATCGGTATGGGATAATATTGATTCACCTTATCTCACCAGCGTATATATAATACGTTGCTTCGTGTAATACCACTTGTTGCCGATGATGCTCGTTAAACAAGCGAGAGTTGAAAACGGGTTCTCCTGCGATAAATATGCCGTAATATTCGTATTCCGTATATCCGAAATAACCGATGGGTAACCTGACTCGTTTTTAAACAAATAAAAAGAACGTTAGAGATTCCTGAAATTGTTGGGTTCTATCTATCTCTCGTACGTGTACTTAATTATACGTTTGATCACGTACGTTCGACAGCATCAGTAGAAATATAAATCTGACGAACCACGTATCGTAGAATCGTTTGAGAACGACGAGTGAGAGAGAGAGAGA